TTGCCATCTTTTAACTTGTTTGAAAAAGCTATAAAAAAAAAAGTTATTTTTTTAAAAAAGAAGGCCATTTTACTTATATTCAGAAATCTATGATTTCCTAAAACCAGAAAGATCTTAATTTCAAAAACTAGAAAAAAAGTCAAGCCCTCATTTTTTTTTTTTTTTTTTTTTTTTTTTAAGGGAAGGAGACCTTATCTTTTAAAACTGGAAAATGTATATAGAGAGTAAGCCACCTTTTATATTTCACGTAAATTTGCCTTAAATTAGCTGCACTTTATACAGACTCAGAAAATGTCTTTCCTTTAAAAGCTAGACCTTTTCTGTTTGTAAATATTTAAAATGAAAGAAAGAATTGTGCATATTTTGTGGGAAGTCGGAAGAATGGTTTGAAACAGGCTGTGAACAAATGACTTGTTATTAAAAATCACTAACGTGTTAACAGCTGAAACTATGTCCATGTCTCCTTAAGGCACCTCCTTCACGTGCTACCTCCAGGCTCAGGAAAGTAAGATTCTGGCAAAGGAACAAAGGTTCCTGTCCAACTCAGCTGGTCCCAACCTGTGAATCAGAGAAGTCTTGGTGGGGCCTTTCTCACTTTTAATCCTATTTCAGGGTTTATGAGCCTAGAGTTATCCAGTGGGGAGCTACATTTTCTCCACCAGGTGAGCTAGGTTGTCTTCCCCCACTCGCCGACCCAAGCCTCTCTTAGAACTGTAGCCAACTCTCAGCTGTGGTCCAGGTTCCATTCTGCATGGCAGGGCTGCATCCTCTGCTATGCCAGCCCAGCTACCCAGGAGGAGCTGCAAGGGATGGCTTGGCCCCTCATTTTGACCCGAGGAACTCCTTGAGATTTTACCGGAAGGCTTACCAAAAAGTACCTAGTACATTCCTCTGTGGGCTGACGCCAAAAAGGTGGTAAAGTGCAGCACCTGAAATTATATCAGGTTCCCTCACAGTTGTCAGCTCAGAAGCAGCCAGAGGCATTCTGTCCAGAGGATGCCAAACAGTATCAGGCAGGCCTGGAGCAGGGGGCATCACATGATGGCAGCAAGTTTTTTTCATAGTTCATAATAAACAAGCACAATACTCTTCCCCTTAAAGACTTTGTAGACCTGGTACAAAAGGTCCCCAGACTGGAAGGAATCACACACCCATGTTACGTGTGCGCGCACGCGCATGCGGGCACATACTATTCTTCGAAGAAGGTTTTGGGCAACATGAAAGGAAAAACTGAAATGTAACTGTTTTGTAGGCCAAGTCAGGGAGAAACTAGAGCTTTCATGGCACAGACATCGTTAGTGGAGCTCGTTCACATTTTAACTTTGTCCAGGTTACCCGGTTACCCAGGGATACCGTCAAGCACCCTTAAACATTTAAGGGCTGGTTTTTTCTTTACGTGATATTCAGTTCGGCCACTGGCTGATTTGTTTTTTTCTGAAAGTATTCAAATTTAGTTAAAACAAGATGAGGTCTTTTCCTACTAATGTGTCTATTTACCTCATTATGGCTTATGCTTCTCTCTCTTTTGTTTTAAGACAATACTTCCTTCACCTATCTGAACTTTTTTTCTTTCTTGGAAAGGTTAAAATATAGCATAAAATTCACCTGGCACTTTAGGTAACTTGAAGACAACTCTTTTTCTTCTAGCTACCTTCCATGCTGCCCCCCCCTTTTGAAATCTATATACCCTTACAGATTTTGTAACAACCAAATAAAATTCTAGCAATAAACCTGAATTATACTGCTATATTTATATATACTATACCATAAATAGCGTGTCTGTACCTGGAAGGTATTTTTTTAAGAACTGATTTATATGAAATATACTTGAGGGTAATGTAGCTTGTCCTTTTGAGTTTCAAATTCTTATTCACAGGCAGATACTCTGAGGACCCCTTAACTCTTTGTTGTCTGTACTTTTCTTTCATATCATATAGCTATACCTGGAGAAGTCAGTTTTGTTTTTCAGTTTATCACCTTTCGTCCCGCCTCAAGCTCACGTGGCTCCCATCCCAGCTGTATTGGTACCTCTCCCCTACCACATTTGGCAGGTATTCCTGCTACACTCTCAGACTGTGAATACCCTTGCTGTGCTGCTGTCCTATCTCCCAGGCAGAACGAGGGTATCTGGAACTCTTTTGTTCCAGGTTGAGGAGATTCATTGGCTTGAGTTTGATGAGCTTGTTTTTCAGTGTTAATTTGGGTGTTTTATTTGGAAGTTGTCTTACCCGACGTGTGACTTGAGCTGTACTCAAGCCTCCCTAGTCTCAGCTCTAAGAGGAAGATTGGATTTTGGGGTTTGTTTCAAATACTTTTACCTTTTCACCTTGGCAGCTCCTATTGCTACTTTCCTGTTACCCAAAGCAGTGCTTCTTGGTCCTTTTCTTTTGCCTTTATTATCTGGGATAATGTTTATTACTTAGCCTCCCTAAAAATCAGAGGACCAAAAAGGTGTTACAGGAAGAGAAGAATCAAAGGAATAAAGAACCTGGCTTAGGGGTAAGTGTATTGTCATCTTAAGGCAGAGAGGGACCTGGCACTTAGGGATGTGTCTGGTACAGCAAAGCTGAAGAGGACACCCCTCACCTGCTACTTTTCCTTCCATTGGTGTTTCCTCACTTTACGTTGCTTTGCTGGACATTACTCTGTTGCCCCCACTTCCACTGCTGGTCTTGCCGGTCACAGTTGAAGACTTTGACTGTGATGGGCTCATACTCATAATGGCTTGCTGTTGAGTTGTTTTTAGTGACAGCTTTTGTTTGCTACACACCTCATTGGCTTACTTACCAACACCAGCTAGATGTGGTCCCTTCTTTCATATCCAAACCAGAATGCATTTGGGTATTCCTGAGACTTTATAGAGTGTGTATTGTTTGTTATACGAACCTAACCTACCTTGTTGTTTTCTCATATTAAGAGACGTAAATCTACTTTGCTTTAGTGGAGCTATTTTGGTAATGTATGAGCAATTTTGGTTCCCTTTGGGGAGTGAATGAATTCAAAGTCTCTATGACTTACGCTTTGCTTATTTCATATCAGTAATACAGCTATTTTAATTTATCTAAATAAAACATTTCCTTTTTCTCCTACTGTGTCTGTGACTAAAGGTTCCCCCCACCTCATACCTTCAATTACTAAGAAAACAAAAATCTGCTTTGATCCCTATTTTTATAGACTCCTTTATCCTTTCAAAAGCAAGAACTAACAGATGGTGAAGAATCTGCCTTAAGAACTGCATCATCTAGCCTGAAGAAGTGAAGGCTGCTGCTTGGGCATCTGCCGGGCTAGAGGCAGTGGGATAAAGGGAGAGGGAGTCCCTTCGTCTCTCTGTATCAGCCAAACTCCACTTGGTCTCTGTTAGTGTTTTGTGTTTTAGGTTTTTGTTTTTTGTTTTTGTTTTTGTTTTTTTTTTCGTCTGGTTGGTTGCTTGGTTGGGTTTTTTTGTTTGGTTGGTTCTTGGAGTTTTTGTTGTTTTTTTTTTAAGGTTCAGTGGAAAAGCATGTTTACAAGGAATGTTCCACTGTCTTTTATACAGGTGGCAGGGCGGAGAATGAAATCCATTACAAGAGAGAGGTCATATAGGGGCTAGGACTTTTTCACACAGGGGGAAAAAAATAATAAAAATTCTTCATATTTACTAGGATTCTGGGATTACACACACATAAGCAAACATACATGATCTGGGGGGGCCTTTCCCTTCAGGGGTGACTACATAAAGCTTATCTCATTTACAAATATGGTGAGATGATTTCTTCATTTTCATTTCTTCATGGGGAAAATTTATATCCTGGGGTTATATCCTGGGTGGAGCTGGGCTTCCTTTAAAGTGGAACCAGGGATCCCTGGGTGGCGCAGCGGTTTGGCGCCTGCCTTTGGCCTAAGGCGTGATCCTGGAGACCCGGGATCGAATCCCACATCAGGCTCCCGGTGCATGGAGCCTGCTTCTCCCTCTGCCTATGTCTCTGCCTCTCTGTGTGTGTGTGTGTGTGTGACTATCATAAAAAAAAAAAAAGGTGGAACCAAATAGCCAATATTCTCTTTGTCTCTGCTTTTAGGATTGTTTCCAAACTGCACAGAAATTAATATCCCCATATAGTGGATATTAATTTTCGGAAGGTCCATGGATCCCTTTGATAATTTAAAAAGAAAAAAAACATTTTATATGTAATTTTAGAGGGTTCAGTGGCCAGCCCTTCTCCTAAGCCAGTCTATCAACCACATTAATTACACCCTGCAGACACACACACACAAACACAATCATTTGCCAAGTGTTTTCTAACGACTTATCTTTAGGGAGGGGACACCATGGTGTTTGCTGAGAAGACCAAGAACTTTGGTGCTAGACAGATATAAAATTGAGACCTGGCTCTGCAACATAAAAGCAATATAGCAAATGCCCTTGGAACCTGTCTCTCCCCTTATAAGAGGAGGATTGTGAGGTCCATTTGGCAGTTTTCTTGTATTAATGTAGAGACAACCATAAAAGATCTCAGTGCATCATCAGTAAAGAATGCAGTTCAGCCAGCAATGCAATGTGGCTCGTGGATCTCATGACTTGTTTTGCGTGTGACGTGGCCACTGAATTGCCATAGCTCATGCACCCCCAGCAGCTCTCTGGTGGCAGCAATTTTTAATGTCCCACAGAATAGCAGTGCCCCTGGCTGGATACCTGGCCCACAGTCTGGAATGTGGGGTTTTTTTGGTCTTAAATACTGAATAGAGGGATGTTGCTGATTCACTCTTTTCCCACAGCCAACCCTCTGGTTCCTGTTTATGACTTGGTGAACTTCAGCTCAGTTTGCAAAGTGCCCCCATCCAACAGGGGAGGGACATTGCCTTCTAACAACAAATGAGACACAAGGGAGCTTTCAGCTTTTTTTTCAGTCTTTCATAATGTGACATCCAGATGGGCTCTGGCCTCTGTTAATACCACCTCCCTTGGGTTAGCTCCATTTTCCAGCTCTGCGCCTGATACCTCCAGCTCCCGCCATCAGAGCAGGCTACAACTCTGAAGCAAAAGGCTTGGCATTGAAGCAGTGGTCTCCATGGGCCATCGTGGGTAGGGAATGGAAGTGGATGTTCCTTTCAGGACAGGTGTCCAAAGGGTAGGAAACTGAGTGGTTCATCACTGGAGGCAGGTTGCACAGGGAAATGGAAAAGGGCACCTCCTGAAAGATGGGAACTGGAAGTGGGGAGCTGGTCTGGGACCGCAGCATTGGGGAAAGTAGGGGCTGCAATGCAGGTTGTAGCAGGGCAGGGCCCTCCACCTTGGGGCTGCTGTCTTCTGCAACAGAGCTCCTGCTCTCAGAGATGTCCAACTCCCATAGAGGATCTGAATTCTGGACCTCAGTCTCAGTCTTGGTGGCAGCAGGGGGAGGCCCCATGTTGATGGCTGTGTTCATGCCATAATACCGATGCTTGTTAATCCAGTACAACAGTGGGCTGTAGGTGAACGTGGCAGCTCTCATCACCTCCACCCACGCCTGGGCACGCTCTTCCCGCCTCAAGTTCTTCCTCCAGTGCAGAAAGAGAATGCAGCCACCAGTTACCACAGAACACAGCCCCAGGAATCCAAAGTACAATGAGACCCACACTAAGGCAAGAAAGAAAAAGAGGCAAGGCAAGATAAGGAAAGCTAGGTCTAGGGAAAGCATGACCTGCCCAGACTCAGTCGAGCCTCTTGCTCCCAACCCTGGACCCATCCAATCCGATTTGAGAAACCTTACTAATGGCAGAGCCCATCAAGGAAGCAAGAGTTTACAGGTGACAGGGACACCGGTGACCCATCCTATTCCATCATACCCACATACCCATTCAGCCGTGATGGCCTGGGGTATTCATAGTAACCCCCTTCTGGTTCAGTGGAGAAACAATGATTCTCTGCCACCGATCCCTAGTTTCCTAGAGGAAACAATATCCTAACTGCTTAGCACTCCTCCACGCAGGCAGCCACCACCCCATCCATGTAAAAGGTCTTCCCTGAGTATCTGCCCCAAGCTAAGGTACAGGGTAAGGGACAGAGACTGAAGGGGCATTTACCACCAGGGAGGCTCAGATCCTCCTGCTGGGAATCCATAAGGTCGAGCCTTGGTACCCAGTTGATGGCTCTGGGGAGAAGGAGCTCACTTACCCATCTGCCCAGCCAATAGAAGGCCCTGGAGTGCTTAGTTCCATTGTTCCCTAAAGCTGAGGTCACTGGGTTCTGAGCATTAAACATTCTAGGGGCAGTGCTTATGAGGTCTTGGGTTAACAGAAGGAAGAGATTCCATCCAATGGTGTCTCCTAGGCCTAGTGTGTCTCTACTGCCTGGGACTGATCCCCCCACCGAATTGTCTGCCCTCCACCCCTTATGGTGAACTCTTAGAGAGGCCCCCATGTGTCTTAGAGGTCTATCCATGTTGCTGGGCTTTAAGAAACAGTTGATGGACACCTGTCACCAGTGGGGAGCAGGGCAGGGAGCATACACAACTTTGGGCAGCCTTGCCTTCAAGACTTCTATAACCAAGCTACAGGAGAAAATCTGCTCAAGGCAACTAAGTGATCAGCGCCTCCGTCCTTCACTCTTAGAATCTCTTGTTTAGTTACCTTCCTTCAATAGGTGTTAGCCAATGTTTCCTGGGCCTCAGGCCCTGTGGGAGCTCCCTGCCAGCCAGCCCTACATCTCTTTCCAGCCTCACCTTCCTCCCTATCCTTCATATACCTTATGCTCTGACCCAGCCAGACTCTTGAACATACCTGGCCTATTTACATCTCTGGCGTTTTGCTCACACCGCTCCTCTACTTAGAAGTGCCCTCCCCGCTACCCCCTGGGTGTACACCTGCTTGTCTTCCAAGCCCAGCTCAGTCCCCTTACTCTGGGACAGTTGTTTCTACTGGCCTCCCCAAATCCCATCATCTCCAGTTTGAAGGGACTTTGAGAGTTGTGTAGTCCAGCTCTGTCAGGAGCTTGAACCCCGGGGGTAGATCTCCCCTCCTCAGCAGCCGGCACCACAAGACTCCCCTGAGTGGGAGACTCGCGGCACATCCTGAGGTGGTCCAGTTAGAAAGCCCTTCCCTAGTGAAGCCCTGAGTTGCACCCCTGGGCCAGTTCAGCTACTGGCACCATTTTATTACTTATTCTCTGTAGCCCCCCACCCCCGGCATGTGATGTGGGGCACTATTCAGTGTGGATTTTCCTCCAGGTTCTGCTTGCTTGGCTCTCCTATCTCCTTGGCTCCTGCTTTTCAGTCTCATTGCTGATTTCTCTTTTCCCTGCTCTCTAAATGCCAGCGTGCTCAGGCCTCAGCCCTCCGTCCACTTTCATTCCGTCAGTGGTCTCATCCAGACTCATGGCTTTAAGTGTTACACAGGCACTAACAGCTCACGCCTTCTATCTCCAGCCCAAACTGCTCCTCAGGACTTTGGACTCATTCACCTCACAGCCAGGTTGACATGCCTACCTTTAAGGGGATTAAGTCTATCAAGTTATCTCAGATGAACATGCCCAAAGCCAGACTCCCAATCATCCATCCTCCAAAATCTACCCCAGCCTTCCTCCTCTCTGTAAATGGCAACTCTGCCTTTCCAGTTGTTCAGACCAAAAGCCTGGATGTCACCCTCAGCTCCTTTCATTTGCTCACAGCCACGTTCACTCTGTTAGCACAATCATTAGGCATTGCCTTCAACACACATCTGGAATGTGACTACTTTCCTACCACTACTACTGCATTCTATGCACCACCCTCCCCTGCTTGGAGTACTGGTCACCCTACAGGGAGACCCGGTTGCCTGGGACTGAGGAGGTTTTCCAGGACATATTATTTTCTACGCTAAAACCAGGAAAGTCTTGAGTAAACTAGGACAAACTGGTCACCTTGGGAGAGCTTCCATCCTTGCTCCCCCAACCCTGTATTTTGTCAGAAGCCAGAATGATCCTTTTAACAAGTAGGTTAAAAATAAGAAGAACATGTTACTTCTCTGCTCAAAACCTACAGTGCCTTTTCCCCTTACTCAGAATAAAAACCAAAATCCTTAAGCAAGGTCTACAGAGCCCGAAGTGATCTAACTACCCCTCCCCATACCTCTTCACATAAGAACCTCTTTGCTAGGGATGCCTGGGTGGCTCAGGGTTGTGTGTCTGCCTTTGCCACAGGGCATGATCCTGGACCTGGAGTCCCGGGATCGAGTCCCACATCGGGCTCCCTGCATGGAGCCTGCTTCTCCCCCTGCTGGTGTCTGTGCCTCTCTCTCTCTCTCTCTCTCTCTCTCTCTCTCTCTCTCTTTTCTCTCATGATTAAATAAATAAAATCTTAAAAAAAAAAGAACCTCCTAGCTATTCCACAAATAGGGCAAGCATGCTCCTGCATCAAGGCATTTGCTGTTCCTTCAATCCGAAAGGCTCTTCTCCCAGATATCCAGACAGATGATTCCCTCATTTCCGTCAGCATTCTGCTCAAGTGTCCTCTTGTCTCCATCTCTCTCAGCCTGCTTCGTTTTTTTGCCATAACATGTATCATTATCTAACATTACAACTTACCCTTGAACAACATGGGGATTAGGGACTATGACCTCTGCACAGTTGAAAATCCATGTGCAACTTCTGACTCCCTCAAACTTATCTACTAATAGCCTACTGTTGACCAGAAACCTTACCAATAACACAAGCTATTGATTAACACATATTATGTATATGTATTATATATTGTATTCTTTTTTAAGGTTTATTTTTGAGAGAGAGAGAGAAAGCACGTGCACATAAGCAGTGGGGAGGAACAGAGAGACTCAGGCAGATCTGTGCTGAGCATGGAGCCCGTCAAAGGGCTCAATCCCAGGACCTCGAGATCATGAGCTGAGCCAAGGTCAAGAGTCTGATGCTGAACTGACTGAGGTACCCAGGCATCTCTTATATACTATATTCTTACAAATAAAATAAGCTAGATAAAAGAAAAATGTTAAAGGAATCATAAGACAAAAAATAAATAAAAATTAAAAAAAAGAAATCATAAGACAAAACACATTTACAGTGTTGTTAAAAGTCCACGTGTATGTGGATCTGTGCAATTCAAACCCATGTTGCTCAAGGGTCAACTTTATTTTTTGTCCCTCATCCCACTAGAATGTAAGATCCATGAATTAGTAAACAAGAAAATAAATACCTAAGCATTTCAGATGGTCATAACTGCTATGAAGAAGATAAAATAACGTAATGGGATAAAGAATATAAAGGGACAGTGTCCATCAAGAAAAATAGCTTTGAGGTGCTGACTCATGAACTGAATCATAAATGGCTGATGCAGATCTGAGCAGAGGGATCATCAACCAGTGCAAGGATCCTGAGGCAGGTATAGGTGAGCACACTGGAAGGACTTCCTAGTCTCAGAGTCCACCACACTACTTCCAGCACAGGCCAGGGCCTATGAGTGCAGGGTGGCCTGAGAAACGCTGGAGGCCCTGGCCCTGGCCCTGCCCCCAGGGGGGAGTCCACCATTCAGGCGGGGTTTCTACCAGTAAGACCCAGACAAGGACTTCCACGAAGGCAAACTGGTCGTTGCCACTGCAGTGGGCTTGCCCCAGGGCTGGCAGCAGGTGAGACACAGATGTTGAGGTCTCTGTGTCTGACACCGAGAAATCCTACTTGGTTCAAGGGGATGAAGAAGATGGTGGTATTGGGTCAACAGAGGTGAAGGAAAGAGCATTACAAGAATCAAAAGCAGCCAAAAGAGGGGCGCCTGGGGTGGCTCGGGTGATGATCCCAGGGTGCTGGGATGGAGTCCCACATCGGGCTCCCAGCTCCGCGAGAGGAGTTGCTTCTCCCCCTCCCTTGCCCCGCCTGTGCTCGCGCTCTCTCTCTCTCTCTCTCTCTCTCTCTCTCTCTCAGACGAATACATAAATCTAGAGAAACCAGCCGAAATAAAGGCTTGTCCGGAGACAAGGCTGGCATCTCGCAGGGTTCCAGATGCTGAAGGGCACCCAGAGCGCCGGGAGACGGCTTCCAGGCGCGCTGCAACCGGGCGGGGGGCCGGGGCCCCGGAACCCTGCGCGCGCGGAACCTCGGGGCCGGAGCGCGGGCGCGGCGGACCCGGAGCGCGATGGAGCAGGCGCGCGAGCAAGCTGAGGCCGCCGCGCCCGCGGACGAGGAGGCGGAGGAGGCGGCGGCAATGGCGGCCATGGCGGCGGCGGCTGGCACGGGCCCGGCCGTGCTGCAGGTGGCCGGGCGGTACCGGGGCCTGTGCGCCGTGCGCAGCCGCGCCCTGGGCCTGGGGCTCGTGTCCGCCGCGCAGCTGCGCGTGTTCCCGGTGCGCCGCGGCTCCGGCCGGGCCGACGGCGGCGGGGTCGGGGCGGAGCTCGAGGCCAACCCCTTCTACGACCGCTACCGGGACAAGATCCAGCAGCTGCGCAGGTGCGGGCGGCGGGCGGGAAGGGAAGAGAAGGGAAGGGAAGGGAAGGGAAGGGAAAGGAAGGGGCGGCCGCGTCCGACGCCTGCGGCGCTTCGGGGACCCCGTGCGGCCCTGTGCCGGCGCCCGGAGGGGAGCTGCGCGCGCGGAGGAGCGGCGCGGCCGGCTGACGTCGCGCTGCGGCTCGGCTCGGCCCTCGGCGTCCCTGCGGGGCCCAGGCTCCCGCCTTGCCCCGCGCCCTGCCCCGCGCCCTGCCCCGCGCCCAAGTTCTCCAGGCGCCGCGGCGGGATCCTGCGTCAGCCGGGATGGAACCGCCGTTTCCAGGACACCTGCCCTGCTTGTAGAATGGGAGCGTGAAGCTTCCCTAGCGGGGCGCGACGTAGGCGGGGTCGCATGCTGAGTCCCTGAGGCCTGGCCGGGAGCTCCGCTTCCAGGCCTCAGGCCGCAGCCCCGACTGCAGGGAAAGAAGCTGGGGGAGGGAGCAGGGCTCCCGGACTACTGGGCTCACAGTTGGACCGGCCCTTGAACCCTGTCTTTAAGAGGAGGAAACAGAGTCCGAGACCTGCCAGAGGCCACAGGGCTGTTTGGGATTCATCTGATTTGGGATCCAGGGTTCCTTACACTACCCCTCAGCTTCCAGATAAAAGGACTTGGAGATCCAGAGGCTCGAGGTGGGCGGGTGTAAGGGGGCCCAGGGAGGGTCTGAATAGTGGAGGTGGACAGAGCTGAAGGAGTGAAAGGGGATTAGAGGGGCCTGGGCGACAATCTGGCAGGTAGGCGGGCAGCTGTCTTAGGAAGAAAACCGGGAACTGTGCCCTGTAACTTTGAGTTTTGTCTCCTCTCTACTTCCATGGCCTTCATTTACTCCTCCATCATCTTCTGGACTCTTGCAGTCGTCCCTTAGCGAGCCTGCCCCACTTCACCCCAGTCCATCTCACTGCTGCTGTGGTGATCTTTCTTCCCTTTCTGAAAAATGTCAGTAAAGGCATGAACGTTTTTTGCGCTCTTTCCAGCAGTATTCAAATACACTCAAGGATTTCCTTCTTGAAAGCCTTTTCTTGACCTACATTCCCCTCCAGGCTTTTCTTCCCTTTCACAGGCAGGCATCTTAGGAGAATTGTCTACTCAGACTCTGAATACTTCCCATTCACTCTTACTCATGAACCAATGAATGGAATGGCTTTACTCCTCCACCAGATCATTCCCATCAATATTTACACATACTCTTATCTTCTAAAGAGTGAGCTTTCCAAAGCACCCTCACTGACTAGATAATGTCCATCTTCCTTAGTTTCCATACAAGGTTCTTAATCCTGCAGAGTCTGTCAGTCTCTCTATATTCACTAAAACCTGGGCTCTTGGAGCACCAGCCACAAGTTTGGTGTGAACCAACAGTGGGATAAGGCTATGTGCCCTGTTGACCCCTTAAGCCTAGTATCTGGATTTTTGCGTCACACTTTGCACCAGTGAATTGGGAGTATTTGATCTACCTGTAGACCTACTGTATCTAGAGTATGGACAAACTGGAGGGTGTCCAGAGAGCAGCTTTATAGTGAGGAAATATTCACAAATCACGTATATGAAGAGAGGCCAAAAGAACTAAGGAAATTTGACCTAGAGAAAAATTTAGGGGGCGACAAGAGCAATTTTCAAGTACTCAGATGAAAGGGATTATACATTTTTTCTTGTCCTGAGTGTGAAGATATGATTGGATAGATTTAGGCTCAGAACATTTTTAATGATAAAAGATGTCCAAGGTAGGAATGCACAGACTTAGGCCACTCCTCACTCTGTCCACTCACCATGGCAGGCCCAGGTGTGGCTGTGGATGCTTGCAGCACTAATCCTGGTCCTAGCATTTACAGCCCTAGTGGAGCAGGTGCCACACCCCACAGGACAGGATCCCTGGAGTGACTTTGCACTGAGTTGGTGGCCTGCAACGGAGGGGAGGAAGAAGATCTGCCCATGTAATGGTATGAAGGGAGTAGTGCTTGATGTCACCTCTGGAACTGAGTTTTATGGAAGAGGGGCTCCATACGATGCCTTCATCAGGAAGCAGTCCACCAGAGAAGTGATCAGGATGTCCTTGGATCCTGCAGACCTATGACACTACAGGTCTCATGGAGCTGTAATCCCTGTTTGATGTCTTCCCCAAAGTGTACAGGGCCAAATATCACATTGAAGAATTCTTAAGTATGGCAGCCCAACTACACGTTAGGCTTGAAGACCAGCTTCATTTTAACATAAAGGACAAGCTCTGATAATTCATCTGCCGGAGCAAATTCTTTGGAGAGAGAGTTAGGAAGAAACTCAGGTGCTAAATCTTATCCTACAGAATTCACTGTTTTTTATTTTTTTTTAAGATTTTATTTATTTATTCATAGACACAGAGAGAGAGGCAGAGACACAGGCAGAGGGAGAAGCAGGCTCCATGCAGGGAGCCCGACATGGGACTCGATCCGGGGTCTCCAGGATCACACCCCAGGCTGCAGGCAGCACCAAACCGCTGTGCCACCAGGGCTGCCCCAGAATTCACTGTTTTTAAAGCCCCTAAATCATCTGGATCTGGATTAACAGATGTTGAACCTCTGAATGGGGTGAAGATGTCTAAGAGCTAGATGCGTTAAAGTAAAAGCTTGACACCTAGTAGGAATGCTATTGGATTCCTGCTTGAGTAGGATGAGCAAGCAAGATAACTTCAAAGGCCCCTTCCCATCTTGAGGATTTGAATTCCAAGGACCCAGAGTATAAGTACCTAAGGGGCCAAGCTCTGCATCACTCTAGGAAATAACCTGCAAGAGAAGAATGTTACACAGGCCCCTTAAAGATTAATAGTAAATAACTGAATTTCCTTGTCCAGTTTCTTGATCTGGAAGATCAAAGGATCAAATCCTTTGCTATTGAATGCCCGTGTCTTCTCTCTCTCTCTCTCTCTCTCTCTCTCTCTCTCTCTCTCTTTCTCTCTCTGGAAGTGGAACATGATGCTTTGTTATTTCCAAATTCAAAATGTCCCAAGTGGTTTCACTTTTGGTTTACCTTTAATCAGGTCTGACCCAGCTGCTTTTGAATCCCGACTAGAAAAGCGCATTGAGTTTCGGAAGCAGCCAGTGGGACACTCCAAGCAAGGTGACTTTATCAGATGTGTAGAACAGAAGGTAAGACCCTCTTTGTGTTTATTGGCTCACCAGTGTACTGCATCCCCATCCCTCAACCCTATCCTGGGAGTGGACTCACTGATGGGCCAGCTGGATGAACTGAACGTAGCCTCTCTCTACACAGCTCAGTCTCCATCCATAAATGGTATCCTGCTCTTTCTGGCCAGGTACTGTAATCATGGTAGAGATCTAGAGGGATGAAAAAGGCAATCCAAGCTCCGGGGGGGTGCAGTAGGTCAAGGCAAAGCACACATGGCAGTGGGTTCTAGGGATTAGGGGGAAAAAAGTGCTTAATAGCTATTCTTATCCTTAGACAAGAATCAGAGCTGGGGAAAAGCATGGTGCTTTTTTTTGTACAGTGCTTTTCAAACTTTTGATCATGATACACAGTAAGAAATGTATTTTACACTGCAGTTCAGTACACACAATTGTATATGACTGTAGCTGAAGCAGAGTTTTTATAAAACAATGCTTTTACTACATGCAATGCACTTTTTTTTCCCTTAAAAATCTTTGGCCACAATCCAGTAAATTGATTTCACAATCTATAATTTGAAAAATACTTAGTATTGGTTAGTACACATTTGTTCTGGTACACAGAACGAATTGGAGTGGGAGAGGCTAAAACCAGGAAGTATATGTAATAATCCAGGTATGGGCAATTTGGGCCTGAAATAACATACAGTGTAAAATTGGGATTCTGCACTATGTTTTAGAAAGAGAGAGGTCTATTTAATTTGGACAGTAAGTTTTTTTGCCTTGAGTATTCTAAATTTAAGAGTATCCACTCAATTTAAAAAAAAAAAAAAAGAGTATCCACTCAATCTTTTAATAACTGATTAAGTTCATTAGAACAAAAGCAAGTCACTTAATTTGAGGAGCAAGTTCAACCTCCTATGACAAACATAGTTTAGAACTTTATGTGAACAAACAAGCCTCTACTACAAATATTTTAATAAATGTAATTTCCTATAATAAACATTTATAGTGCCAATGTTACAATCCGTGGCTCTTGGAAGTATTACTGTATTACAAACTTTCAGTATGACATGGGAAAGCCTTTTGCCCCCTTTTGTAAACAGACTTAGCAATTCAACTTCATAATGACAAAATGCAAACATAAATCAAGATGTAACTTAAATTATGGCAACTCTTGGGTAAATAATGACTTACTGTGTTTCTTACCTAGCTAGATAGAAGGCTGCTAATGACTCCATTTGCAAATCCTTTTCTTTACTCTGAGTCATTGGCTCCCTACCACATGAGCCTTTCTTATAAAAAAATTTCTTAATTCTCCATTTTGTACCCTCAAGTGAAAAGTAGACAATGTAACCCACTAGTACACATAATTTCAGGGGGGAAAAAAATCAATATAATGCCCTAGCTGTAATATAAAGGAAAGAACTTTTAGGGTTTTTTTTTTTTTAAGATTTCTTTATTTATTTACTAGAAAGAACACTAGCACTGGTGGGACAGGTCCAGACGGAGAGGGAGAGGCAGACTCCCCACTGAGCAGGGAACCCCATGCAGGATCGGATCCCAGGACCCTGAAAGAGAGTGCGTGCACTTGAGTGCACATGAGAATGGAGGGAGGGGCAGAGGAAGAGAATCTTTTTTTTTTTTTATTTTATTTATTCATGAACGACACAGAGAGAGAGAGGCAGAGACACAGGCAGAGGGAGAAGCAGGCTCTATGCAGGAAGCCCGAGGTGGGACTTGATCATGCCCTGAGCCAAAGGCAGACACTCAACCGCTGAGCGACCCAGGTGTCCCCAGAGGAAGAGAATCTTCAAGGAGATTCCCTGCTGAGTGCGGAGGGTTGATGTGGAGCTCCATCTCAGGACCCATGAGGTCATGATCTGAGCTGAAACCAAGAGTTAGATGCTTAACCAACTGAGCTACCCAGATGCCCCAAGGAAAGAACTTTTTAATAAAATACTTATTTTGTAGATGGTATGAGTGAAATTTCTCTATAAGTGAAATTTTTATAAGTGAACTTTAATATATAAAGTTCTTGAGCACAACTATTCTGTGAAACCTAATGCAGTCATCAGAGGCTCTCTCACCTATATGTGAAATTATCGTAAATACATAGACAGCAAATGCTGACTGGTTTTAGGGGTGTTGTGTTATTACTTTTAAAAATGGTTTGGCGCCTGCCTTTGACCCAGGGCGCGATCCTGGAGACCCAGGATCGAATCCCACGTCGGGCTCCCAGTGCATGGAGCCTGCTTCTCCCTCTGCCTGTGTCTCTGCCTCTCTCTCTCTCTGTGTATGACTATCATAAATTAAAAAAAAAAAAAATGCCTAAACCGGGACAGGATGCTTGGGTAGCTCAGTGGTTGAGCCTTGAGCCTTTGGCTCAAGTCGTGATCCCAGGGTCGTGGGATCGAGTCCCACATTGGGTTCCCTGCAGGGAGCCTGTTTCTCCCTCTGCCTGTGTCTTTGCCTCTCTTTGTGTCTCATGAATAAATAAATAAAATCTTTTTAAAAAATTAAAAATAAGAAAAATTAAAATTCCTAAACCATGAGCAGTGTTGTCAGTGCTCCTCATGAGATTCCACAATGTGCAACTTCTTTCAAGTTATATAGTAGTTGCATTTCTAAAAAAACCTCAGTGTTTGGGGCACCTGGGTGACTCAGTGGTTGACATCTGCCTTTGGCTCAGGTTGTGATCCCAGGGTCCTGGGATTGAGTTTTGCATCAGGCTCCCCACAGGCAGTCTGCTTCTCCCTCTGTCTGTGTCTCTGCTTCTCTGTGTCTCTTATGAATAAAAAAATAAAATCTTTTTAAAAACATAATAAAAAATATAAATTAAAAACTCAGTGTTTATTAAAGCCATATTTTAAAAAAGAAGAAAAGAAAGGGAAAGTAAAACAGAGTTAGAATGTAAACCCAGATAACTTGAAAAGGTTTTTCAATTACAAGGACATCTGGCCAGACACTGAAAAGTTGTGCAGGGTGGGGTAAAATTCTTCATTATGTGGAATTATTTTTAAGATTGTAGGTCCTGGTACCACTTCCCCTCCCATAAATATAGATGTCCTTATCTAGTCAACTCTTGTTGTGGTAACAGAAAAGTTGGTTCACACAGATTTCCAAAGCATCTGGAGGGAAGTAGTACCCATTTAAATGTCTTATTAAGTGCTCTTGAGACTTTTGGCACATACTTTGAACTATAATTTTAATTATTATAGTTAATTGGTTTTAAAGCCTACATTTTTTTTTTGCATTTTAACATTTCCAGAGTTGTCTTAAAATTAATGTGATATGAAGATATTTTGTTTTATTATTTAATTGGCATAATTTTCTGATACATAAAATGCTGCTTCTTAAGTAGTGTCTTAGGTCAAAATAAAATGCAATAAGTTTATACTTGGAGCTTAAATTTGTTATTTGTATAAGCGCAAATGGGAATAAAGAATGGATTGGAGGGGATCCCTGGGTGGCGCAGCGGTTTAGCGCCTGCCTTTGGCCCAGGGCGCGATCCTGGAGACCCGGGATCGAATCCCACGTCAGGCTCCCGGTGCATGGAGCCTGCTTCTCCCTCTGCCTGTGTCTCTGCCTCTCTCTCTCTATCTGTGTGACTGTCATAAATAAATAAATAAAAATAAAAAAATATTTAAAAAAAAAAAAAAAAGAATGGATTGGAGGGACATTGTGGGAAAAGAATACACCGGGCTTAGAGATTAAAAGGTGAAGGCAGCTATGCAAATGGAGAGTTTCATTTGTTTTATTTTCACAATGCACCTGAAGGTGAGTGATATGAAAATGAAATCAATTTTCTTTTTTCTGCAAAGTTTATGTGTGAAGGACAGAGTGCATTACGATGCTGCCACTACATAAGGATATGACCAAAAAGACGAGGGTATATCCAACAGATTTTTCTACACCAGACTTTTGTCTAATGTATAGGTACCAATTCTGTGGGCATCATTTAGGAAAAGTTTCGATTCCTTAAGGCACAGAATAACGAAAGACAGGACTTTATATGGGCAAGTTTTTCAGTCTCAGAATCCCAGCTGTAGATTGTACTTCTCTGGAAAGGCTTGGACTTGAACTGAGAAATTGAATGAAAGACTTAGAACAACCCATCCCTACTGTCAGAAACCTCATAATAGAATTTCCTGGCTGTGGCCTTTATCAGAGATAGTGGCCTAGAGGAAGAAATAATCACTAATTAGATAGAGGGAATATTAAGAGTAAGTTGAAAAGACTAGTCTGGTGAGGATGCTTTCCATCAGAAGTGTGTCACAGGTGAGAAGCCACCTTCGAAAATTCATTTTTCCATTGCTCACCTCCTTTGTGGCACACCATTGAGCAGATCAGAGAGCAGAGCACAGAAAACCCTCATTCTGGAAGGATGTAGCAGGCCTCACTCTGGGAAGGAGTACTTCATATCCATAGTGGCAGGTATAGAATGGACTCTCAATACCAGTATATGGTAGTTACTAACAAAGAAATCTTCTGTCATCTGTATCTCAAAAGCTGAGTCATAGAAAAGGCTCACAAACAATAACTCCTAGAACAGTGTGTGTACAGTTACTGTATAGGATGGAGAAAAGTGAGTTTTCAAGTGTCACGTTACTAAATGAGATATTGCACACATGTAGTGGTCTTTTTCTTATGAGTAAGGTATGGATAAATATCCTGTCTCATCATGTATTTCAGACAGACACCTTGGGGAAACAGCCTGTGAGCAGAGGATTCACTAAGGACAAGGTAGGTTGAAAGATGAAAGATCTAAGTCTGAAGTCGGAACATCTGTAACAAGAGACTGCAGATTTGAACATATTTACTGTGGTTCAGTGATTTTGTGATTTTTTTCCAACTGTGAAGATGAGAAATATTTCTAAAAATTTTTATGTCCTTGTTACAACCTCTAGCATATTATGTGTCCTGGGGGTGCTAGAGGAAATATGAAGGAAATCCTAGTGATATACTTCCTTCCTATAGGAAGTAGTTTTAAAAGATCAAAGCATGTTTACTCATTTAATTTGCAAATAAGGAGCCACCCCTAGTAGAATAGCAATTGATGGTGACAATCAGATTTTCTCCTCTTAACCAGCTACAAAGTGCTGCAGTGCTCATTAGTGAGGATAAAGCATTTGGAAAGTACTTACAGATATGCCCCAGGAATAGCACTGTAAAAACCTGCCTGAGTTTAGGGGTTTACTCTGAGCACGCAGGTTTTCTTCTACACATTCTGTACTTATTGAAGATCTCCTCCACTGTCCTGACCTATTGCTTCCCACAAGGCTTACAGATAGTTAAGCTGTTTTATTTTTTTAATTGTGGATATTAATTGCCTTTTATTTTCTCATTCAGACTCTCAGTTCAATCTTTAACATTGAGATGGTAAAAGACAAAACCGCAGAAGAAATAAGACAGGTAATGAATGAAAATGGGTTGGCACACTTTGTGAAAACATGTGCTCTTTGAGCCAGATCTGAAAGTAGAAAGGAGTGTACACTTCTTGACACCTCTTTCTAGCCAAAATGAAAGGTGGCCATAGAAAGCAAAAGTGATAAGTTACATGAAATGTGATGGCATAAGAAAGCTTGTCCTTCTTGATTTTACTCCTATATGTCTAATCAACTCACATTACCCCCTTCTGTTTCATTCCTGTTGCCCAGATCTTATTTAAAATCATCAGTATTGCATTCCTGGCTTACTATATGGCCTGTCTAAATAGGTTTCCCTGCTCCTCCACCTCTCATAGCCTTACTAGCTGAATCTTCTTAAAGTTCTGCTTTCGTTATGGGAAGGCATAGTGTATTGGTTAAGAACACAGACTCTAGAGTCAGGCCACCAGTTTTAAGTCCTAGCTCTGCCACTTACTAAGTGAATGACTTTGATAAGCTAGTTAACCTCTCTGGGCCTTCATTTCCCTATCTGCAGAGTGGAGATAACTATAGTACTTATCTCATAGAGCTTTTGGGGAATTAAGTGAGCTCATATTTGTAAAACATATAGAACCATGCCTGGCACAGAGTAAAGTACTGCATTTGTGTTTTTAAGTAAATGAATGAAAATAAACACTATGTCAGTGACCTGCTTGCAAATATTCAGTGACTTCCTGTATTCCTTTGCTTGCCATGCAGAGTCCTCTTATTATGGGACCTGCTTCAGGAAGCTTTCTGGATACCTTCCTTCTAAGTACTCATAATCTATCCTACCTCTTTAGTCATTCCATACACCTTGCATTGCTATTTAATTTTGATTTCTATGATTCTTCTTTCTCTAATTAGACTATAATAAACTATTTATTGACATTCCTTGTAATTCCATGAAGTATTTTAGGTATATTGAGGAAAAAATAATAAGGAAAGCAGTAAACTATGTGTCAGGTACTGAGTGCTTCATATGCACTATTGCATTAAATTCTCATAACTACCTGGAAGTGTAGGTGCTATTATTTCCAATTTACAAGTGAAGAAACTATGGTTTAAAGAGATTAAGTAACATAAGGGTAGAGCTGGGACTCAAACCCATGTCTGTTTGACTCTGCATCCTATTCCCTGGTGGGAAGTTGTGCCAATTGCCATGAGTTTCCTTTGGGTGCTGTTTTTTGTTTCAACAAAAACATTTATTGAATACCTATTAAATGTCAAGTTGTATGCCAGACACAGAAATAAATGAGAGAATCCCCTACTCTCAAGAATTTTTAGCCTAGTAGAAGGACAAACACAAAAACAGATGAGAATAGCACAGGGTTCTAACTTGTGTTAATAGAGGCTTATGCAAAGTCTCTAGGAGACCTCAAACTATGTCCTCGGGAAGAGATGCCAATAGAAAGTGGACACCAAGCATGTCCTTTAGGGGAGAGAGAAGCCAGGCCCAGGATGCTTGAGCATATAAATATCATTCAGGTCTATAATTTTAGACACAAATTTGTGTTCATTATAATTTTGAGTAACCAATGTCAGTTATGTTAGGAAACATTTGTCTGTCTTATAAATTTCGGTGTTGATCATGAACTATCTATCAATATAAATTAAATAAAAATAGCAGGATATGATCTCCTTAAAATGAAAAGACAGTGTCTGACATGGAAAAAAAAAATAAGGCAAAGCAACCTTTGGCTGTATTGACAGTGGTCAGGTCCTGGGAGGTAATAGTTCTCTATCCTGTGTTAGTTAGATCTTACTTTGATTGGTATCTTCAGTTAGGGGGCCCTCCATTCTTAATGAAAATAGTGACAAAGCAAAGCATCTCTAAAGGAGGGTGGCCTCCTTCAAAAGTTCACTCAGGTGTCACCTTGGCTGTGATGCCTTCCCCAACTCCTCTGCCTTTGCTAATGCTGTCATTCTCTGCTTAGAATGTGTGTCTTCTATCCTTCCTGTTTTCTTCCCAGCCTCCTTGTTCACCTGGCTAGCTCCTAATCATTCCTCACAATATTGCTCAAGTATTGCCCTTCTCTGGCACTCATTACCTAACTTGGATTAAGTGCCTTTTTGGGGATCCCTGGGTGGCGCAGCAGTTTGGCGCCTGCCTTTGGCCCAGGGCGCGATCCTGGAGACCCGGGATCGAATCCCACGTCAGGCTCCCAGTGCATGGAGCCTGCTTCTCCCTCTACCTGTGTCTCTGCCTCTCTCTCTCTCTCTCTTTCTCTCTCTGTGACTATCATAAAATAAATAAAAATTTAAAAAAAAAAAGTGCCTTTTTGTTGCCCTCAGAGTACCTTGGCTCTGGTTTGCATTGTAATTCTGTTGTATTAAGCACAAACATATTATTTCACCTAGTCTTCACAGTAATCCTCTCAGGTTGATATTATTGCTATTTTACTGATGATTATATTGGTGTTATTTAGTGATTTTCAATAATTTGTCCTAAGTAGCATGACCAGCAGATGATTGGACCTGGGATTTCCATCCGGGTCTACCTGAGTCCAGAAACTCGGTTCTGAATGACTGATGCCCTGGCTGTCTGAGAAGCCCACAGTTGGCTGGGGAATACTGGTTTTGCAAAGGAAAAGAGAAGATATGAGAACGTGTCTGTTACATACAGGCACATCTTGAGAGAACTGATTAACAAGGCCATGAAATCTATTTTTCTGAAAGGAATTTGTTATTAAGAGTTACAGTTTAATCATCTAGCGAGTAGATGGTATTAAATATTTTTGTAATCATATATTAGTAATAAAAGTATTATGTTGGGTTTTCTTCCTTGTTATCAAATAGCATGTTACTCTGACCAATGAAAGCTGTCACCATTTCTTGGCATAGGTTGAAAAGATTATCTACATGTCACAGACACCCTCTCTTTTTTGTACAGATTTGGCAGCAGTATTTTGCAGCAAAAGATACAGTCTATGCAGTTATTCCTGTAAGTAGTTTGGAGGGGAAAATGAAAGTGTTATAGCATGAAGGTCAGCGATCTAACCTTAGCGGGCAGTTGCCTTTACTTTTTCTATGTTTATTGCCTCTCGAGAACTTACATTTATAGCTCTGAGGGTTTTTATTATGCCCTAAGCACCAAATATTGGAAACTCCATATGGTATATTTATGGCTCTTGTTTTCCGTCTTTCTGGTTTAGAAATGTCTCTTTGACTCAAGTCTCTGACAAGGGAGCATGGTATAAGCTCATGTTGCTGAGCAATTTCCAAATGTGTTTTACTACTTTTTGGTGTTTTCCAACCATAGTGTTGGAATTTCAGACAAGGACCCTAACATAGCTTTCTTCCCCTTTCATCTGTAAATGGCCTATTACTGAGCTGACTTAGAGCCTCCTCTAGGCTTTTTCTGGCATTTCCCATTAGCAAGTGGCATTTTCTTTATTTTCTCCCTTCTTGAAATTGCTGTCTTGGAGATAGTCACTGGCCACTGCTTGGCCATTGAGGTTTATGACTAGGAAGGGGTGCTGCTGGCTTCTTCTACTTTAACGTCCTTATACTAACTTTTGCATAAAGCATTTTATCAGCTAGTTCTGTAATTGCTCTTCTTCCCTGAAAAGGAAGTCATTTAGGTTAAATTTACATCAAGCACTGAGTTTACATGTATTAGTTTGAGATTAAGGAGGAAAACTTAGAGACAAAAAGGTAAAGTCGGGTCTTTTGTTTGCTCTAAGAGTGTTGCTACCCCACCTCTTACACACACAGACTGTTGTTCAAGAGTTCAACGACCAAAGGATCTGCACTTTCTGTGATATTTGAGATCTCTAATACTGACTCATTGTTTTAAACAGGCCTTCTTGGCTCTCCCTCAGATAGCCTCAGGGACCTGAAGTCTCTGACACTTGGCAGAGTCCCTTGCCGAATTTGGAGCATTTGGAGTATCCACTCTTCACGTGTAATTCTGACCTTGAGCAGCCAAACATATATCCAGTTTTTCTCTTTATCGTAAGAGGGATTTGTAAATGATAGAACTTAAGAGATCTTTTTAGTTGTATTTTACTTCTAGAATTCAGTCTTGGTGAATTTAAATATGATTGCAGCCTTATATTTTCTTGGTTTTGAATTTAATTCTTTTCTAACCTACAGGAAGAGAAGTTTGACCTGATCTGGACCCGGGCTCAGTCCTGTCCAACAGTAAGTTTCCAGTGGCCAGATGAGGATTGCTTATCAGTGCTGGCAAACAAGGATGTTTTCTAGCCTATCCCTTCATACTCCATACTATCTCATGTTATAGTGCTCTGCTTATTTAACCAAGATGCTCACGTGTTAACTGTACTGATAAGAGATTTTCAGCTGTAAGGAGTCATGTGGGTTTGTCTCACAGTAAGTATCTCAGGATCTCTAGCTCCCTGGCATGGTGCAGCCCCTTTCTGATTTGGATCTCTGTCATTATAAGTGAACATGGGAGGCAACACCTGAGCCCATAACATTTTCACCCTCCTTCAAGCTTCTGTTTTATTGCCAGTTTCTTTTCCATTTTGGCCCTGCTATTCTGCTTGTGTGTGCCTAAGGAATTATGAGCTTGTTGGAGTCCTGCACTGCCAGAAGACCTAAGGGAAAGGGAATTGATGAGGTGGACCAGCTAGCTGACTTGGTGTCAGTAATAATTTCTAGGATTTTTCAAAAAGATTTTCCAAATATCACTGAGAGAAAATAAAAAGTATCTAAGTAAATGGAGAGATGGGCTATGATCATGGATTGAATGACTTGGTATTGTCATCATTTCTCTCCAAGTTGATTTCTATAGAGTAAATATCCCAATCAAAATCACAGTAGGCTTTTTTTTTCTTTAAAGAAATTGACAAGCCAATTAAAAAAGAATTGTTTGGATATCCTAAGGACCTAGAATAGAATAACAAAACAAGTTTTGTTTTTTGGGCATTTTTGCTTTTGTTTTTGAACAGCAAAGCAAGGTTTATTGAGTGATAGTGAAGCAAAGTTAAGTGAGTGATAATATGAAGCTCCCAAAGAGGAAGGAGACCCACGAGGGTTGTCCTAAAGCAGTTTTGAAAAATGAACAAAGTTAGAGGACTTAGGTTTCAGGATTTCAAGGCTTATTTTAAAACTACAGTAATAGGGCAGCCTGGGTGGCTCAACAGTTTAGCACTGCCTTCAGCCCAGGGCAGAATCCTGGAGACCCAGGATCAAGTCCCGTGTCAGGCTCCCTGCATGGAGCCCACTTCTCCCTCTGCCTATGTCTCTGCCTCTCTCTGTGTCTCTCTCATGAATAAATAAATAACATCTTTATTTTTTAAAATAAAATATTTAAAAAATAAAACTACAATAATGAAGACAATATGGTTGTGTCATATAGATCAATAGAACAGAACAGAGAATCCAAAAATAGACCAACATGGTCGGTCAGTTATTTGTTACCAAAGGTGCCAAGGTAATTAAATGGGGAAAGGATAATCTCTTCAGTTGAGATATCCATATGTAAAAAATGAACCTCTACTCTTACCTCACGCTGTATCTAAAAATTAACTCAAAATAGATCCTAGATGTAAATGTAACTTTTAGAAAAAACAATCTTGGGCAGCCCTAGTGGCGCAGCAGTTTAGCACCGCCTGCAGCCCAGGGCATGATCCTGGTGACCCTGGATCGAGTCCCACGTCGGGCTCTCTGCATGGAGCCTGCTTGCTTCTCCCTCTGCCTGTGTCTCTGCCTCTCTGTGTTTCTATGAATAAATAAATAAAATCTTTAAAAAAAAAAAAAGAAAAAAAAATCTTAGGTTGAATGTTAGTGATCTTGGGTTTCGCAAAGATTTCTCAAGTATATCACAAAAAACACAAACTGTAAAAGAAAAAATCAAAATCAGTAAATTAGATTTCATCCAAATTAAGCTTTTCTATTTGTATTCTCATGTTTATAGCAGCATTAGTCACAATAGCCAAAAGATGGAAGCAACCCAAGTATCCGTGAATAGAGGAATAGATAAGCAAATTGTGGTATATACACCTAATAGAGTATTCAGCCCTAAAAAAGAAGAAAATTCTGACAGATGCTACAACATGGATGAACCTTGAAGACATTATACTAAGTGAAATAAGCCAGCCACAAAATGACAAAACTGCATGATCCCACTTACATATCTAGAATAGGTTTAAGTACCTAGAATAGCCAAATTCATGGACAGAAAGTAGAACGATGGTTGCTAGGGGATGGAGAAATGAGGGAATGAGGAGTTATTTTTTAATGGACATGGAGTTTCAGTTTCAGTTTCAGAAGATTAAAAAAGTTTTGGAGATGGATGGTGGCGATGGTTGCACAACAGTGTGAATGTACTTAACGTCACTGGATTGTACATTTAAAAATAGTTAAAATAATAACTTATGCATATTTTACCACAATAAATAAAAAGTAAAACTTTCTACTTTTCAAAAAACATTGTTATGAAAATGAAAAGACAACGCACAGACTGGGAGAAGATATTTGCAAGACACACATTGATAAGTGACTTATATCTAGAATATATTAAAAACTCTTACAATTTAAGGAGATAGGCAACCCAATTAAAAAATGGGCAAAAGAGACGCCTGGGTGGCTCAGCGGTTGAGCATCTTCCTTTGGCTCAGGGCGTGATCCTGGAATTCTGGGATCGAGTCCCACATCGGGCTCCCTGCATGGAGCCTGCTTCTCCCTCTGCCTATGTCTCTGCCTCTCTCTCTGTGTCTCTCAGGAATAAATAAATAAAATATTTTTAAAAAGGGGTGGGGGGAACGCCTGGGTGTCTCAGTGGTTGGGTGGCTGCCTTCAGCTCAGGCCATGATCCCAGGATCCGGGATCGAGTTCCACATCAGTCTCCTGCGAAGAGCCTGCTTCTCCCTCTGCCTGTATCTCTGCCTCTCTCTCTGTATCTCTCATGAATAAATAAATAAATCTTTAAAAAAAATGGGCAAAAGATTCAGACAAATCACCAATTAAGTGGAATGGCAGATAAGCACCTGAAAAAATGCTCAATAATATTAGTCATAATGTGAATTACAAGTTAAAACCATGATGAGATACCACTAAAATGACTAGAATTAGACTGGTGTAGTGCTGGAATTGGAATAAGTGCTGGTGAAGGCATGGAATAACTGGAAGTCCCACATACTGCTGACATAATAATGTAAAACAGTATAAGCACTTTAGAAAACAACAAAAGTTTCTTTAAAAGTTAAGCATATGCCTGCCATACTACCCAGTTATTCTTTTCCCTAGATGTTTTCCCAAGAATTGAAAGCATATGTTCAGACAACACAACTGTTCATAGTGGCTTTATTTGTAATAACCAAATACTAAAAGATATCTATCACAGGTAAATAAAGATATTATGGGGGGAGAGGAGATTGTGTGTACATAAACATATACAGTGGAATAATATTCAGCAATAAGAAGCAATAATCTATTGATACATGCAACAACATGGATAGATCACAAAACAATTACACTAAATGAAAGAAATCATACCAAAAAGAAGTATAGCTTCTTTGGCTTCATTTATACAAACTTGTAGAAAATGCACTGTGACTAAGAGTGACAAAATCAATTCAGTTTTCTGTTAGCTAGGCACTGAGGTCATGTCATCTGAGAAAAATAAAATAGAGCCTGAGTGGTTGGCCATAAGGAGATAATTCCATGACTAACACATACCAGACTGATGATGCTTTGTTTTGTCCTGACACCATTCTCTTCACCACTCATTCCCAAACATCTTAAGCATAAAATTAATCATTTATTCGTGTTTACAACCATCCTTCAGTATCAGCCTTGGATGATAGAATAGGAGGTGATTATAATTGGAACAGAAGTTAACTCAGTGGCATTAGAAAGTATAGAAATTGAAAAACTCAAATGTTCATCAATAGAAGAAGAAATAAATTGTGATAAATTTCTATAGTAGCATTCCATACAACAATGAAAATTAATGAATTAGAGTTATACTTATCAACTTAGATAAATCTCAAAAGTATAATGTGAAGGGATCCCTAGGTGGCGCAGCGGTTTGGCGCCTGCCTTTGGCCCAGGGCGCGATCCTGGAGACCCGGGATCGAATCCCACGTCGGGCTCCCGGTGCATGGAGCCTGTTTCTCCCTCTGCCTGTGTCTCTGCCTCTCTCTCTCTCACTGTGTGCCTATCATAAATAAATAAATAAATAAAAAAGTATAATGTGAAGTGAAAACAAGTTGCAAAATGGACATATAGTTTGATAAGATTTATGTTTTTAATCTTGTAGTATTTGTGGTTTATGGATATGTGTATGTGCATGCACACTTAAAGTATAAAAACCCAAAACAGACACCAAATGCAGGATATATGTTACTCTGGGATGGGATTAGAATGGGTTACAGAGAAAGCTTCTATTGGATCACTAGTACTTTCTTTCTTAGGTGGGATGGAAAATATATGAGTTAAATTATCACTTAGGAATTTCATAATTTAAAAAAATATTTAAAAGCCAGACAGATAAAAAATGGAGTAAATGATACAGGCAGTTGGACATGGAGCAAATGATTTTATTTATTCATCTGTCTCCTCATGTATTTGTTTCTCACAGTTTCTATGTGCACTACCAAGAAGGGAAGGTTATGAGTTCTTTGTAGGACAGTGGACGGGTACTGAACTCCACTTCACTGCACTTATAAATATTCAGGTAGGTGGCTTGTGCTCATTCCCTAGAAAAAAGAGGCTACTCTTCTGTGGGACCATGAGCCCTTGCTGAGGCTTGAGGACACAGAGTATCTACTAACTCCCAGCAGTATTTGCTTTGGTGTTGATCGATTTGTATATAGGGCTAGCTTTCTAGGCCCTACTCAATACCTATAAATTGGAAAAGACCCCAAAATATATTCTGTGACTACATCTGGTACCTCCTGTTTCTTCCCCAGACCTCTATAACATTTACTGCTTATGCCCCACTTAACTAACATGAGTCAGTTATGATGGTTATCTTTTTAACCCTAAGGTAGGCTCCATGTCTTCCTTGTATTTTATGAACAGAGTCAGCACTTTCCAAGATGCTACATGCATAGTTTCCATTCCATAGATGTTGTTTTGTTTGCTTTCTTTTCCTTTTCTTTTATTCCCAAATATTGGATTAAGAAATTCAATCCAAAGCATTTGAAGCTCTTAAAAATGAAGTCAATATTTTAAATCAGATCATAACTAGATCATAACTTTAAATCATCATAGAATGTCATAGATTGACATTTCATGTTTAGAGGCCAAATCTGCCCAAAAAACAAGCATGTGTTACCATGGCTTTGAAGGTGAGGGTAAAGGAAGTGCAAAATAGAATGAGAATTTGTTCATGACTATATCCCATGTGCTTGTATCCTAAAATTGTACTATACTTAAAAAAAGAGGGAGGAATAGGATAGAAAAAAAAGAAAAAGCAGAATGAGGGGGCAGTTTTTACTTTGATTGGATGCATTATAAAAGAACATTTATTGAGTACATCCCATAATATCTAGCATTTGATGTACTTACTATATGCCAAGTGCTTTATAAACATTATGTCATTGAATCCTCACACATGTCCCATGAGATAGTTACTGTTATAATTTCTATTTCTAGAGAAGAGCATGGGCTCAGAAAAGTTAGTTCCTAATGTAGAGGAGAGAGGTAATAGGTGGCCTAGCTGGATTTGATTGATTCCAAAGTCTGAACTGAGCCCTTATGCAGCTGCGTTAGAGACAATGCTAGGACTTAGAAACCTGTGAGACAAGGTCCCTGCCCTCCTGAAGCTCATAGACAAGTATGGGAAGAAGATCCAGAAACATAATTATGATCAAAATGATCACTATATTTGAAGTATATGGGGGAGAATTGAGAGACTGAACCCTAGCAGTAGTTAGGTATTGATAATTAAAAGGACCTTTGCTGAAATTTAGAGATGAAACTCCAAGATCTTTTTTGAATGTGTAGTTCTTTCCTCCTATACTATATGAGGACTTTCACTTTGAACCCAGCCTCTTTTCCTAGTCTGGACTGAGGTCTGATAACCACTGCCCTGTCCATTCTTCATGAAATTATGATGTTCCCATTCTTCTTTTCCCCCCTATCTCCCACCCAGATTATATTTTAAAACTGCACATTACAAATCTGGCCCATGTGCAAACTCTCCAGCTATTTGCTACAGCTTAAAAGAGCTCAGTCTTCAGAGCCAGCCAAGGGGAGTAGATTTCAACTGTGAAATGCACTAGTCCATAAAAGTGGCAATTACACAGGCATATTGCTTTCTTTAGAACTTGATTTGGTAGCTGCTTGTGCCATTTTGTTTTTAAATATATGGCCATGATGAAGGATTCACTGCCTACTGTAAACATTTTCTGGGAAAAATGCCAAACCTTTTTCAATTGAAGACACAAATAACACTGTGCAAACTGTCAGTTTCACTGTGCCTTGGCAAGCCTGACCATCCCCCACCTACCAATCCTCTGACTCACTAGCCACCCAAGGGGCTGTTAAGAGCCGGAATTTCCTCTAGACTCTCTATTGCTCTGAAATTGCAGTTTTGTGTGGTGGTACCTTATTGAGCCTTGATAAGTGTTTCTTGTTACAGACCCGAGGGGATGCTGCAGCCAGCCAGCTGGTTTTATATCACTATCCTGAACTTAAGGAGGAAAAGGGCATAGTGCTGATGACAGCAGAAATGGATCCCACATTTCTGGTAAGAATTAATTTTTACCTCTTCGGATTTACCTGGTGGCCCTGAAGGTACTATTATTTTGCCAAAGATCATGAGAGGTAAAATCCCAGAGACCTATATGTACTTGTTTTGTAAAGTTGACAATGATTTGGTCTTGCACAAGCTCTTCCAAGTTGAAGGTAGTACAATCATTAACTCAGTCACTCATTCACAATTTTGAAGTCCAAAAGCTCTGAAAACAAAGTTTTCTCATAATTCATTTGGTCACAAGACCTTATCTGACTTGAACTTACTTTGTAGCTAAATCTTCATTGAAACTGATATAAAGGGGTGTCTGGGTGGCTCAGTTGGTTAAGCATCAGCCTTCAGCTCAGGTCATGATCCCAGGGTCCTGGGATCAAGTCCCATTTCGGGCTCCCTGCTCATTGGAGAGCCTGCTTCTCCCTCTACCTCCCCTGCTCGTGCTCTCTCTGTCTCTCTCTCACTTACTCTTTCAAATAAATAAATAAAATCTTAAAGAAAGAAAGAAACTGATATAAGGCCATTTGTAATCCTTATTAATCCCACTTGGTGTGGAATATTCATGCATTTTACTAAGGAAATATTAATGAGTTTGATTATGGGGAGTTACGTAATAGATCTGTCGCCTTTCTAGAATACAGTAATTCTGACTCTGAAACACATCCGGTCCTAGGGGTTTCAAGTAAGAGACTATGAATAAGCAAGCAAATGGTTTCTTAAGCGTAAGGCCCAGTTCAAAGTCCGGAATAGTTGTTAATCTTTTTTCTTCCTCCACACTGTTCACATGTACTACATTCATCATATGTAGTGATTTCTTTTCCTCCTTTTCTTTCTTTTTTTTTTTTTTTTTTTTAAGATTTTATTTATTTAGGGGATCCCTGGGTGGCGCAGCGGTTTGGCGCCTGCCTTTGGCCCAGGGCGCGATCCAGGAGACCCTGGATCGAATCCCACGTCGGGCTCCCGGTGCATGGAGCCTGCTTCTCCCTCTGCCTGTGTCTCTGCCCCTCTGTCTCTCTCTCTCTCTCTCTCTCTCTCTCTCTCTGTGACTATCATAAATAAATAAAAATTAAGAAAAAAATTAAAAAAAAAAGATTTTATTTATTTATGAGAGATACGAGAGAGAGAGAAAGAGAGAGAGAGAGAGAGAGGGGCAGACATAGGCAGAGGGAGAAGCAGGGTCCCTGCAGGGAGCCTGATGTGGGACTTGATCTCGAGACTCCAGGATCACGCCCTGGGCCGAAGGCAGGAGCAAAACCGCTGAGCCACCCAGGGATCCCCACCTTTTTTTTTTTTTAAGATTTATTTATTTATTCATGAGAGAGACACAGAGAAAGAGAGAGAGGCAGAGACAGAGGCTGAGGGAGAAGCAGGCTCTTCGAAGGGAGCCCAGTGCGAGACTCGATCCCGGATCCCAGGATCATGCCCTGAGCCAGAGGCAGACACTCAACCCCTGAGCCACCCAGTTGTCCCACTCTTCCTCCTTTTCCCATTCCCTGGTATAGAGCATTGACCATATGTCCATAGGTAATGATGTCCACTGTATTTGTTCTCCCTGTATATCCAGGGCCAGGAGCAGTGTTATGGTTATTATACAACTGGTTTGTCTAGACTTTGCTTGTTTCCGTCTCATTGTCTGTCAGGATTTAAGTTCAGGATGTCAAGATAGTGAATACTATAGTGCTTCTTCTCCTGAGAATCTTCATTACAGTACCCACTCTTTTTCTTCTCTCTCTTACCAGCTACTTACAGAGAGGGAAAAAGCGACTGACTCTCAGCTAGTATCTCAAAGTAGCAGTAAGTCCCAAGTCTGGGACAGAATTGGAACTCTTCTTTCCACTATCACACGCAACTGGAAGTCACCAGAATCCTATCAAAGAGAATGGAATTGCTATTAACTGAGGTAGACAAGATTGCAGGAGGAACAGATTTGAGAGGAAGATCAGGAGCTCAATCTTGGGCATGTTAAATCTGAGATTCCTATTAGATAGGCAGTAGGCAGTTAGATGTATGAGCCTGGAGTTCAGGAGAGAGATAAATGTAGGAGCTGTCAGCATACAGATTGTTATTTAAAACCATAAGACTAAAAAAAAAAACAAAAAAAACATAAGACTAGGGGATCCCTGGGTGGCTCAGCGGTTTAGTGCTTGCCTTTGGCCCAGGGCATGATCCTGGAGTCCCGGGATGAGTCCCACATCGGGCTCCCTGCATGGAGCCTTCTTCTTCCTCTGTCTACATCTCTGCCTCTCTCTCTGTGTGTCTCTCATGAATAAAGTCTTTAAAAAAATAAAAATTAAAAATTAAAAAAACCCATAAGACTAAATAAAAATCGCTAAGGAAGTAAATGAAGATAAAAAGAAAATAGGGGGCAGCCCCGGTGGTGCAGCAGTTTAGCACCGCCTGCAGCCCGAGATGTGATCCTGGAGACCTGGGATCGAGTCCCGTGTCAGGCTCTCTGCATGGAGCCTGCTCCTCCCTCTGCCTGTGTCTCTGCCTTTCTCGCTCTGTGTCTCTATGAATAAATAAATAAAATCTTTAAAAAAATAAAAAATAAAAATGAATAAAAAGAAAATAGGTCTAAGAATAGCCTGGAGACCTGAGAAAGCATCAGCAAAGTAAATTAAAAAGGAATATTTAGTGAGATAGAAGGAAAACTAGGACGATAAAATGCCCTGAAAGCTAAGATAAAATGTTTCAAGGAATTGGGAGTGCTCAACTGGTCAAGTCTCACTTGCTGGTAGGGCAGATGAGATGAAGACTGAGAATTTGTTTACTAGATGTCACAACATGGAAGTCATTAGCGAGCTTTCTCAGGACAGTGTCAGAGGAGTGGTGGGACAAAAGCATCATTGGAGTACATTTATGAGAGGTTGGGAAGAAAACTTACAAAGAGTAAGCATAAACAAGTCTTACAAGGATATTTCTGTGAAAGGAAGGAGAGAATGGGGCAGTAGCTAGAGAGAGACAAGTAGGGACAAAAATGTTTTTTTGTTTTAAATATGAGAGAAATAACATTATATTTGTATGCAGATGGAAAGATTCAGTAGAGAGAGAAATACTGATAATGCGGGAGAAGGAGGAGAGAATTTTTGAAGTATTTTTGAATGGTTAAGCCTGGAAATGAGGGATCGATCTTTGCCAGAAATATAACAATAGGAGAGAAGCCAAAAATATAAGGACACAAATACAGTTTAAATAGATAGAGATGGTGGTATCTTGTAGAAGTTCTCTCCAGATTGCTTAGTGAGAAGGCTAAGACTTTATCTTAGTGGAAGGCCATCAGCTGAGAGTGAAGATGGAGGAATAAGTGTTGGATAATTGAGTGGAATAGAAAGAGAAGGTGTGAAATGATTTTTTAGGACAGAGTCAGCAAACCACGGCCTGGGACCAAATTCAATCCATTATCTGCTTTTAGAAGGCCCATGAGTTCTATATCTTTAAATGGTTGGAGGAGGAGAAGCAGAACTAAAGAAGAATAATATTTCATGGCCTGTGTAGTGTTCAAAATTCAAGTTTCAATGTCTATAAATAAAGTTTTATTGGAACACAGCCATGCTTATTATTTACATATTATCTATGGCTCCTTTAGGTCCACACCAGAGTTAACAAGTTGCAACAGAGACTGCAGGGTTAGTAGAACCTAAAATATTTACTGTCCCTTTACAAAAAGTGTTTGTCAACATGTCATCTAGGAAAATGGGAGAATGGCTATCTGGGTATAGGTGCAGAGAGAGGTGGGGGCTAAGATTTGGGTTTAACTGGGGTTATGGTTCAGTGAGTGGCCTAATGAAGTGAGTTGGGACCAGAAAATTAAAGGTGAGTGCAGAAGAATGCTGATAATTCCCAACCATGGAATGCAAGCTGGATAAATAGGGAAGTGAAAACATAAGGAAGGTTAGGGACCAGAAGAATTGTGAGTCCTGGGGGAGTTAAAGGATTTTTGAAGTTGAGAGTGAACTTAAAAGATAGGAAATAACTAGGGTGCCTGGATGGTTCCATTTGACTCTTTATCTCAGCTCAGGTCACTCATGATTTCAGGGTTGTGAATTCAAGCCCCAACTTTAATTAATTAATTAATTAATTATTTTTTTAGAAAGATAGGAAATAAATAGACCAAGTATAGCTGTTTCAAATTGAGATTTGGAGGGATATAGTTACGAGTAATGACAAGGTTTAGGATTGGCCCAGAGGAAGGAGGGCATAACACAGAAACTTTATTTTCTGATCTTCAGCGAAACCCAGCATCTAACTGTAATGAAAGTGGACTCTGGAGGTCACAGAAGGCCCTTCTGCTCTGGCATTTTTACCACCTTACTCTAGTGGTCTCAATCTGCTGCACAGGCCTCATCAATGTGAAAATTTGCTTCCTGGCCTTATAATATCAGACAACATACCAAACAACATACATTTGCCTTATAAAAATTAATTTGACTGTGAGTTTCTTCATTCTTAGAATAAATTCTAACTAGATATGTTAGAATTTATTGCAGGGGTACATGATTCAGAGATGGGAAACGTAGAAATGTAATTAATATATGATCCCTTGCTACTCATGCATGAATTTATACTTTGGCATAGTACTTCCAAATACACTAAAGCAAATGAATAGAAATATATAGAAACTAGAGGTTTCTTCTGAACTAATAACTTTAATGCTGAAATTTAGGAGAATATTTGAAAACCTTATGTGGTTCCACCTCTGTGTCAGTAGATGATTTCATTGGAATGCAGTCAGTGCTCAGATAGGGTGCTAGGATGCTCTTGCAGGAGGTGTCCCTACCCCATAAAGAGGAAGAAGAGAGATTGTAAAGATGACACCTGGGCTGAATCTCAAAGACGAGCAGGAGTTTAGCCGGATAAAGAAAGGGAGGGGAAGAAGAATGTTCCAGACAGAGGGAATAGCAGAAGTACATGTTAAGAGACATAAAATGACTTGAGATATTCTAAACAGTTTTGTTTCACTAATGTATTAAAAAGGTGGTTTGGTGGGTTATGTCTAGAGGTTTGGCTTTATCCTGAGGACATGAAAGGGTTTTGAACAGGAAGTGACCTAGAAAGAGTTGAACTTCAAAGCCATTAACCTTAATTGTTTGCTTCCTAAATGCTTTTTAGTTTTAGCCTGGTAAGTGTGAACATTTAGAAGACATTTGCAGGTCAGCCCAGGTGGCTCAGAGGTTTAGTGCTGCCTTCAGCCCAGGGCCTGATCCTGGAGACCCAGGATCGAGTCCCACGTCAGGCTCCCTGAATAGAGCCTGCTTCTCCCTCTGCCTGTGTCTCTGTGTCTCTGTCTCTCTCTCTCTCTCCCCCTCTCCCCATGTCTCTCATGAATAAATAAATAAAATCTTTAAAAAAAAATAGAAGACATTTGCAATAGTGTGAGCAAGAGAGAGTGGAGACCTGAAGTAGAGTAGTAAGAACGATAGAGAATGACCCCAGAAATATACAGGGAGTAAAATGGGCAGGACTTGGTAAGGTGATAGTGATTTATGAAGATTGAAAAAAAAGGGAGGAATCAGGGTTGTTAGTATACCTCCTTACTGAGCAGCATAGGAATTAATATATTCATCTTCTCAGGTCCTAGAAAGGGTGGAAACTACTGCTTCATGTTGAGAACTAAGTTGGGGGAAGGGGGCTTAACATAACCCTCTATGAGAGACAAATACACATGTCTCCCTACCCACTATACTAGTGGTCTTTAAACTAGTGGTCAGAACCCTTTATCCAAATAAAATACCTTTTTAAAAAAATTTATTTATTTGAGAGAAAGAGAACATCAGAGTGGGGAGGTAGAGGGAGGGAGGGAGGGAAAGAATCTCAGAAGAGGAAAAGAGTGTGCTCATATGGGGCTCAGTCTCATAACCCTGAGATCATGACTTGAGCCCAAATCAAGAGAAACAATCAACTGAGCCACCTGGGCACCCCCAAATAAGATCTTATTATGTGAATCCTCTGCTATAACAGCTGAAACAGTGCTGAGGGACCTGAAGCACCTCCACAGAGCCCCCTAGAACTCTGCAGTTTGAACAGCACTGTTCTAGAATGAATACAGCTGAAACTACCCCTACCTCCACTATCCTGGAGCCTCAAATTAAAGTTGATTGTCAGAGGCCCCTACAGTTCATGGGCCCAGCAAGCAGTGGTATCTGCTCCAATGACGGCAGTACACTTGCTCTTGAGCCATGTTAGAGTATAGGAAAGGTAAAATTGATAGAGTTATTGCCCTTGATCAATCTTAATTATTTTGCCCCACCAGAAGGAGTATCAAGATGAAGTAGAGAGAGTACCAGTCTAGGAATCCATAGGTCTGCCACTTGCTAGCCATATGACTTTGGGCCCAGCCCTGAACCTCATCTCCTTTGGTTTCCTGGCCTATTAAATGAAGACTGGGTGATCTCTGAGGCCCCTTCTAGGTCTAAAATTCTATTAATTTGAAATAGCCAGCATTTTGGGAAAAGGCTTTTGATTGAAAATCCAGTTTCAGAGATGAGTCTCTGCCTGTAAGAAATGACCTGAAAGCGCTCTGGGAGATAGTGGAAGTAAAGCAGCCAATGATATTTATAAATCTGTTTTCATCATTCTATGGCTAGACATAGCATACTTTTGATAGTTTTAGTGGGAATTTTCCAGTATCTTTTGGGGTTGGGTTTTGGCCATATGAACACAGTGATAATGAACAAGTGCCTCTGACCAGCTAGGACTAGTGAAATGTATAGGAAGCAAAAGTCATAGTAACTTGAGGACATTCTTTTGTAAGGTTTTGAGACACCCCTCTGTTACACAGAGTGCACCATTTCTCTGTCACTGAGATTTAGAGAAGGTGGACCCTTCTATTTCCTGGAGTTTCGCTGGTAGAGTAGTTAGAAGTAGCTGCATAGCAAATTACTCCTAAACTTAGTGGCTTAAAACAAAAAAACACATTACCTCCCAGTTTATGTGGGTCAGGAATTCGAGAGCAGCATAGCTGGGTGGCTCTGGTGTAGAGTCTCTCATGAAGTTGCTGCCAAGATGTTGGCTCAAGGGCAGCCCGGGTGGCTCAGCGGTTTAGCGCCGCCTTCAGCTCAGGGCCTGATCCTGGAGACCCAGGATTGAGTCCCATGTCAGGCTCCCTGCATGGAGCCTGCTTCTCCCTCTGCCTGTGTCTCTGCCTCTCTCTCTCTCTCTCTCTCTCTCTCTCTCTCTCTGTCTCTCATGAATAAATACATAAAATCTTTAAAAATAAAAAAAGACATTGGCTTAAGCCATAGTCCTCTGAAGAAGGTTGATTGGGCTCATGGATCCACTTCCAACCCTACTCTCATGGCTATTGGCAGGAAGCTTCATTTCCTTGCCACATCAGCTTCTTTGTAGGTCTTCTTGAATGTCCTCATAACTTTGGCAGCTGACTTTCCCCAGAGCAAGTAATTCAAGAGAGATAGCAAAATACAAGCTACAGTGTCTTTTGTGACTTAGTAGCAAAAGTCATCCTCCCGTCATTTCACCATGGTCCATCTGGAAGAAGGAAGTAAGTACAGCTTACATTCAAGGAAAAGGAAACTAGCTTTCCTCAAAGAAAGAGAGAAGTTTCACAGACTTTATGGGCAAATTGTAGAACTACAGAGCTGGCTTTAGCACTAGTTTTCTGCCTGAGGTAGTATCAGGAACAGGTTTTATTCAAGAGTATGTCTGGTTAGTCAAGAGCTTATTACTGACTCACAAACTGCTTCTAGAAGCTGAGTACCTATTGCTCTCCCTCCCCCTCTCCTTGAACATATACTTACCAGTTATTAAGAAACTAAATGAAGAGAGAAATTTCAGACATATGTGTTCCTTTATTCAGCAGACATTGACTAGATGTGACCATGTGCAGGGATGTAAAGCAAGCACATACTTGGAGGAATTTATCCTAGGGAGGACAGACAAAAAGGCAAAAGAGAAAGAAAAGGACAGATACAATATAGTATGATACACACTATGGTAGAGGTCAGCATGGGGTAATTTGAGTGCATTTGGTAAGGTGCCCAGGACTTGGATGTCAGGGAGTCAGAGGAGCTTCTGGAAGCAGTGACTCCTGGGTAAGGCCCCTCCACTTACCACAGGACTCCGACCCAGAGCTTTATGGCCCTGCACAGGGAATGACCTATTTTTTTTCCTTACAGAATGTTGCTGAGGCACAGTGCATTGCCAACCAAGTTCAGCTCTTCTATGCCACTGATCGGAAGGAAACCTACGGCTTAGTGGAGACTTTTAACTTCAGACCGAATGAATTCAAATATATGTCGGTCATCGCTGAATTGGAGCAAAGTGGACTTGGAGCAGAACTGAAATGTGCCCAGAACCAGGATAAGACTTAGAGCTGTAAGGGTTGGCTTACAGAGTCTGCTTAGCCCTGGATAGCTTTCTAAAGCCCACCCGCCCCCTTGAACTTTGGGGAGCTTAGCAGCTATAAGGAGCAGTCTCTGATGGGTTGCCCTGTGTGCTTACAAGAAGTAATCATGAAGGTGAGCCTATTACTTGATATTCAGGAGTGAAGGTACCCAAACATTCTGATAATTATCTCCCAGCATACTTAAGCTTTCCTTTTTAAGTGTTTGAGGCCATAACCAGAGAGCTAAGGATCCACAGGATGGCGACTTGACTTTACACAGTGTAGTAGTGCTATGTATCCTTTTGACCACACAGCTCCCAAATGTTCAGTTCCTCGTATTTATAAACTTGTGAAAGGATAGTAAGCTTGAAGGCCTGCTGTAATTAGATGTGGGCTTTGCATACTCTTCCTGTTTGCCTCTTGGCTGGCCAAAATACCCTGTTTAGACTCTAGGTCAGCCAGATATTGCCATCGGAATTGAGACTTCCTCTAGATGTCCCCAGAGTCTGGCTTGGAAGGTCAGTAGATTTCAGGTATAGTTAAACATGCAAGTACAGTGCCTGCATACTTTTAAACCATAGTTCATTATGCCTCACCCTCTAACTCTGCCTATTAGAAGCTATGTATTTGGAGGAGGTGGATCAGTGCAATGTAAATGAATCACAACTTTTTTAAGGAGAGGATCCATCCCAATTTGCATGTTTGGTTTTATTTCATTTGTTTTAAACAACTCTAAGCCATGCCAGTATTATGTGAAAAAGTAGGTAGAAGCAAATGTTCTCAGATTGGGTGTGGGAAAAATGTAGAAATTAAAATAAAGTCTGGCTTATGGTCTTTTTACACTAAACAGTGAAATCTAACCTATGTGCTGCCCTTAGTGCCAGTGCACATCAGTGAACTGATTAGAACTCATCTTTGGACTCAGCAATTGGTTAAAATGCCGAAAATAAGAAAAGAGTTAGTTCTTCATTGCTGAAAACTCACTTTTGGTTTGTAGTGTCACTGCTGTGGTTCCAAGTTCAGTGATAGAAAAGGGCAGTGGTTACAACTAGCCTTCTGAATCTGAGGTCCCTGGAGCCCCCCAGTATTTTTGTCAACCCCCATTTCTATGCCTTTCCTTTTCTTGATCTGATGTGCTCCACTTTGCTGCTTCTGCCCAAGGTCTGCTTGTGTTGGCACTGAATTGGTAAGTGGGAAGGTAACCAGTAGTTGCAGTTTGTGTGTTTGTGTATTTTCTTTATTATGGAAGATTATTTATAGGTTGGGCCTGTCCCCAAGCTCTTTAAATGGGATTGGACCTCTCATTACTTTCTGGGCTGTGTCTATTTTGTTGTACTTCTGAGTCTGTGTGTAGAATGAGATAGTGTTTAACCTGGAATTGCTGCTAGCCTTTCACAGTTTCTTTAAAGGTTGGACTGTTTCCTAATGAAAATTCTGGACCTGCCTCTGGTTCTGACAGGTCCTTTTTAAAGAAACTTAGGTCTGGATGTTTTGAGTCCCAGGAATCTTTGACATCAGGTGGAGTTGCTTTCATGGGTATACGCTTATTTTTGCTTTTCTCTCCAGATGGACCCAGTTCTTGGTCATAGTACATTTTTATAATACCTCCACCAGAGGGTGAGAAGATGATGGGAGAAGAAATAAGAATTGGCCTCTCCTTCCTCCCAGCTTTGCCCTAAATCCCCACTTGCCAGAGAGGGATGTACACATGGACAGTTACATTGGACATGATCAAAATGCCATCTGGATGTTCTTTATATTTACCTGGTGCAATTTCACAGAGAACTGAAAGAAAATTGTAATAATCAGTAAATTTGTACCCTGGTGCAACATGGTGTTATAGAAAGTAGACAAGCTTTAGAGTTAAATGAATCTAGATTCAGATGTCACTGTTGAGATTCATTAACTATGATGTTGAACAAGTTACTTAAACCCTCTGATTCTGTTTCTCCCCTCCATCTGTAAAATGTGGATAATAATAATAATAATAATAGCTACCTCATAGGATTATTGTGAGAATTAAATAGGCTTATACATAGACTATGGTAGAGCTTAATTAATAAATGTCAACACCCTTCCTCTTTTCTAATTCCCCCTCCTCTCATTAAAGACCAACACAAATTAGCATTTCGGACATACAGATCATTCTTCATTCCTGTCTAAAGAGCAGACTTTATCTCACAAGTTCTCAAACTAAGTTGCTGTAGAATTACTTATAGAGCACTTTAAAAATGCAGATTCTCAGGTCTCCAAACCTGCTGGATCATAATCTTTTCCGGTGGTCCTGGGAATTTGCATTTAATATGTGTTCCAGATGATCTGAACATGGGTCAATCACTAGTCACACTTTGCGAACCATTGCCTGATCTGTTCTTGAAGGAAAAAAAAACCATTAGATCATTCTTTCCTATGGACAAATAACCTTAGGATTGATTCCATTGCTCTTGCCTCCCTTAGTGGTCTCCCTTTACAGTATAATTATGTATGTATGTATCTTCTTTCCCCACTAGACTGTGAGCTCCTTGAGGGACAGGGTTTATCTTCATTCCCAGGGCCAAGGAAATGGCCTGGACATAGAAGATACTCAGTTGTTTGTTGAATAAATAAATGACATGGATTTTAGCCAAAACGTTATCTTGTATATGTACCTATATTTAAATACTCTGAATTTAAGAGAATCTCTCAACATGCGTAGATTAGAGCTTACTAAGTCGTAATATTTGCAAACCAAAATGCCAGCTATACACAATCTTGTATCTCTCCAGTCCACTGGCATGACCTTGGCAGGCTGTCGGCTCAGGGCAAGTCAGCAGTCACTCACAAAGCACTTACTCCAACCCCCCACGTTAGGTGCTGACACAGCAAGATGAGGAAGATGATCCCTGCTCTCAAGGTCTGTTCTGGCCACTGCTTATGTGTCTCTTCCCTCAGACCTCACATCTAGCACCTGGTCATAGTTTACCTTGTCTTGTTCTCAGGATGTTTATGCTGCTGCTTCTTTCCTCAAACAGTTTGGAAGTGGGAACTTCATGTTTTGGGTATTTTTGCACTCTCTGTAATATCGACCTTTAGTTCAGTCTTGGAGAAGAGGTATAAATGCCCACCCCCAGCCATTTGGTTTAGCATTAATTTAGCAGTCATTCATATTTGTTGAGCGCCTATTTTATCCCAAGCACAGTTGTAGGAAACGGGAATACAGCAATGAATAGGACAAATAAGGCCCCTGTTTTCATGGAGGTTATGTCCTTGTGGAGAAAACAAATGAATAAGCCAGTAAGATTGTTTGAAGTACTACAGAGCCATGAAAATAAAATAGTGTGCTAGAATGTGGGGTGGAGACAATAACTTAGTGGTCAGGAGAGCCATCTCTGCAGAGGCGAGATGATACATGAGGAAAAGTGCCAGGTAGAGCGAACTGCGAGTGCTGAGGCCTTTGAAGCAGGGCCAGCTGAACACACGTTTCCAGGTACAGATTTAAAGGTTTATTCCTTGCCCTCCAGAAGCTCACAGCTCAGCCAGCAAAACATTGATGTGAATAATTATAGTGTAAGGCACACTGACCAGTGCCATCTCAGAAGATGGCCAAGGAGGGCTCAGGAGCGCTGCCGGGTATTTTGGGGAGGCACATTCTTGCCAGACCATTGCACCCGCCCCCTTCCATGAAGTGCATATGTTTTTTTTTTTAACAGGATAATTATGTATTTATTTTTAAATATTTTATTTATTTATTTATGAGAGATACATTGAGAGAGAGGCAGAGACAAAGGGCAAAGGGAGAAGCAGACTCCATGCAGGGAGCCCGACCTGGGACTCGATCCCGGGTCTCCAGGATCACACCCTGGACTGAAGGCGGCGCTAAACCGCTGAGTCACTGGGGGGGCCCACGTATGGTTTTAAAAACAAATACAGGGATGCCTGGGTGGCTCAGAGGTTGAGCGTCTGCCTTTGGCTCAGAGCGTGACTGGAGTCTGGGATCGAGTCCCACATCGGGCTCCCTGCATGGAGCCTGCCTCCCCTCTGCCTGTGTCTCTGCCTCTGTGTGTGTCTCTGATGAATAAATAAATAAAATCTTTAAAAAAAAAAAAAAAAAACAAATACAGGTAGATAATATCAAAGTCTCAAAGAATTTGTGCTCCATGCAGAGAGGCCTGGTGAGTTCAGAGCTGGCCTCACAGTATATAACAGATTTGCAGTAAACACTAGCATTGATTACTAGAAGCTCACTGTGTGCCAGGCGCTGTGGAAGCCCTTCATGTGGATTATTTCAGTCCTCACAGGCCTGTGAGGTCAACAGGAACCTGCTGGTTGGTGAGATGCATGGCTGCTCTCCATGTGCCAACCCTGTCCTCATCTTCCAGCTCAGAGCAGATGGCAGCCTCGCAGCTACCCCTAACCCTAGCTCTGGCCTCCTGCTTAGGCCCTGAGAAGTCATCAGTGGCCCCTGAATCAGCCCTTGCTCTGAGACACAGGTGTGCCAATTTTCCTGCTGTCAAATCAAGAACAAAATGCATGCGTTAGACATTTCTGATTCCTCCAAACTTTATTTCAAAAGGCATCGTGTTCTAACTAAGGAGAACTTGTTTTGTGTTTTGTGCTGCATGGAGCACTTTGGTCTTGGCAGTTCTCCTAATGTGGCAGGTTGGTGGCAGCATTCTTTATCCCTTTCTGCTGAAGGAGAGACTTGGTACACAAAAAGGAAAGAGATGACTTAAAGGTCGCTGCCTGCATTAGGAGCCAAGCCAGGAATAGAAGGCGACTGTCCACGCTCCAGATTTAATGGTGTCATTTGTAACCTCCAATGAGCAGGCTCATCTCTCACATTCATAGGACTACCTCTTAGCCCTCCAGACCTCAGGAAACTAGAAGGGCTTCAAGAAAAATTGGTTTGGACCATTGTGAATGCTCCCAGGCTCCCCTGAGCATTCAGAAGCAAGTTCCCTTGGATCAGCTCACAGGACAAGGAACTTCAGGATCTGGTCAACTTTTCCAGGCTCCTCTCGTGCTAGGCCCCCACCCACTCCGTTAGCTCCAGTCATTCTGGATGACCAGCAGTTCCCTGAATACACTGTGCTCTTCTTACCTCTGTTCTGGTCTTCAGGGATACTTTTGCCTACCTTGAATGCCTGCTTTCCCTTCATCAAGTTAATTCTTACATGTCTTTCAAATCTTCACTGAAGCATCCAGACCCTTCCTTGACATCTACCCACCTCCCTACTGCCCAGGATGTGCTCCTCTGTGCTTCCCCAGCATTTGGTGTTCCACCTTTATAAGGTTGCCTCTCCCATAGACTGGACACTTTTTGGAGACAGAGATCATATCTTAATGGACTTTATCTTCCCAGGGTCCAGCATGAAGCCTACACAGAGAGAGATAAGATACCCAGCAAATGTTAAATTCCTCCTGGATGAATGCTCAACTCAGACCACCTGTGTCTATAAACATCCCTTGCATAATGAGATCCAGCGCCACCAAAACGCGCTGTGATTATGTCCCAGCCTGGGCAGTGGGCATTTTTCTTGCTCCGCAGCTGGGAGGCTGCATGTAGAAAACAAAACCATGGGGCCATCAGAGGAGGCAACCAGGTTCGGGATATGTAAGCAGGAAAAACAGAGACAATGTCCAAAAGTTTGGAGCAGGACAATTATTATTCCAGCATGTTCGAGCTCCTGTCCTAGCTTACCAAATCTTAACATTACAAAAGACCTTGGAGACTGTCCAGTCGCTAGTTTTCAACTGTGCTTCAGGAAATGCCAACAGTTCTTAGAGGTGGGGATCCTGGGAGCCTGGTCCTTACCCCAACTCAACCAGAGAAACAGTATGTTATTTACTGGGCTTCCCCTAACTGTCATTTGAAGAAACAGTTTCCAAGAAAGACTGAAAAAACGGGTCTGGTTTAACCTCCTGCCATGACAGCAGCCTTCTCTACAGCATCCCCTGACCAACTGGGCAACTATTGGAAAACTCCCAGAGCCTGGGAGCTGTCCACCCTGCTGGCTGACCTGAGCCCTCCTGAGACAGCTCTGAGTGATAACACGTTCTCCCCCACCCGGCACTGAGACCTAGCCACCCGGCACTCCTCATCTCTCTGGGCTTCGTTCTGTCCACCACAGCTGGAGCCTCCCAGAAAGTGTTCGCTGTTCCACCCCATAGCCTCTCCTGCGGGCATACAACAGCAGCTCTCAAGTTGCCTTGTGATCTTTGCAGCAGAGTCAATCAAGGGTGGGGGGTTGGGTGACTGGGTGACAGGCACTGAGGAAGGCGCTGGATGGGATGAACACTGGGTGTTATACTATATGTTAGCAAATCGAACTTCAATAAAAACAAATTAAAATCTGGAGGAACTTGGTCTCAGATAAGCCATCCACAAATAATCAGGCAGGCCTTGCACCTTGGCCCGAAACTCCTAAGTGTCACCTGGTTTCTGACCCTGTCCTAGGTATGGGCACTGGGTCCAGCCAGCTGGTGATCAGGAGAGATTAATAGTGCTCATTCTAACCTGAATGCTCTGGTCTGGGCTTACCCAGCCTTCCCCTCCTTGCTCCCCACCTGCTGGTTTGTGAATCCAGCCTTGAGATCCCCAAATTCCGCGACTCTTTTTTTTTTTTTTTTTCAGATTTTATTTATTCATGAGAGACACAGAGAGGCCAAACACAGGCAGGCAGAGGGAGAAGCAGGCTCTATGCAGGGAGCTCAATGTGGGACTCGATCCCAGGACACCGGGATCACTCCCTGGGCCAAAGGCAGGCGCTAAACTACTAAGGCACCCAGGCACCCCCCTCCCACAACTCTGTTTCCCAGAGTTAGGAGTCTCTCATGGTTTGTCTCTCTCTCTAATTTTTCCCACTCAGTTCCCCTCCTTTCTCTTACATAGTCTCTTTCACTATTTCTTATATTCCCTGTATGAGTGAAACCATATGATGATTGCCCTTCTCCAACTTACTTCACTCAGCATCCTACCTCCAGATTACAGATCTCTGCTTTCTTAGTTCACTAGATAAAACAGTTTACAGGTTAAAGAGACCAAAGCCTATCATTCCCACCTGGCCGAGCATCAAAAACACCTAAGGAACTCATTACAGATGTTGATCCTTAGGCCCCATCACAAAAATATGGATTATTTTGGTCTGGAGTGAGGCCTGGGATACTATTTATTTAAAAAAAAAAAAGTCTCTGGTTTGGGGACTTCTACAGTGAATTAATAATTTTATTTATACCTGAAGAAGAAGGCTCTAAACCAGGCGAAATAATTTTCCCAGTGTCACACAGCATGTCAGTAGCAACATTCTTTCTATCTCTTTGTTGTGAATTTTCTCTGCACTTTGGTTCTGGGGAGCCCCACTGTAAAATATCTGAAAAACAATGGCTGGCTTATTGTCTGCCTTCAGGAAAGATTTCTGGGATGAGATAGCTATTTCCAGCATGTCCCAGGTAAGGACTTTGGAGGATAAGAGAGGAAAGTAGAGGTCTTCCCAGACTCTGGGAATCCAGATGGCTTCCCTGTCTGATTGCAGAGAGCTGAGAATTCCCCAGCTCATGAGCCCCGGAGCCAAATGCTGGATTATCTGTGCCTGGCCCCTGCAGCTGCACAGAGAATTGTGTGTTGCCCGTGCCGGCTGAAGCTCTCCATCC